CAGAAGAGCCACAGGATCCACCTCACAGCAGCACAGCAGTTGCCACTCACTAGCGTCACCATGGCTCTTATTGGGTGTCTTACTTGTCTAGGCATCACAGGAAACATTCTCAACAAAAGGAGGCCTCATGCGCCTACTTCTGACCTTAGGCCATTTCCTTAGGGCCACTTGTCCTCCTCTGTGTTCCCAGTGCCCCGAAGTTCTCATCACTATTCCCCACTAAAAAAACAATTGCCATTCTGCCTAGAGTGAGGTAAAATCTCAGGGCAGTTTTAATTTGCATCTCTCTAATCCCTAGAGATATTGAACATTTCGTCTTATATTTGTTGACCATTTGTGTTTCTTCTTTTGAGAAGTGTTTAGTTCCATTGTCCATTTATGGTTTTATTTTTCTGGTGTTGTTGTTTTATTTTTTAGTTCTTTGTGTAAGCTGATACTCAATGCCCTCCCTATCTGAGCAAGGATGAGGGGAAAGGGGTCACTCACACACTGCTGGTGGGACTGCAAACTGGTGCAACCACTATGGGAAGCAGTGTGGAGATTCCTCAAAAAACTAGGAATGAAATCATCATTTGCCTCAGTTATTCCACTCCTCTATATATATCCAAAGGTTTTAAAATTTGCATACTACAGTGACTCAGCCACATCAATGTTTATAGCAGCTCAAATCACAATAGCCAAGCTTTGGAACCAACCAACCTAGGTGCCCTTCATCAGATGAATGAATAAGGAAAATGTGGCACATATACACAATAGAAAATTACTCAGCCTTAAAAAAGAATGAAATTATGGCATTTGCCAGTACATGGATGGAACTGGAGACTATCATGCTAAGTGAAATAAGTCAATCCCCAAAAAACCCAAGGCCAAATGTTTTCTCTGACATGTGGAAGCTAATCCTCAATAAAGGGGAGAGTAATAGAAGTTCAGTGGAGTAGACAAAGGTGGATGAAGGGAAAGGATGGAGGGATTGGAAAAGGAAAGACAGTGGAATGAAATTGATGTAACTTTCCTATATGAATACACCACAGCGAATTTCGCCGTCAAGTACATCCACAAGAAATTAATTTTAAAATATAGCAATGGGTACATAGCAGAAAGATTAATAGAGGGAAAGGAGCAGAGGATGGGGAGGGGAAAGAGAAGGAGAAGTACTGAGGTCTGAATTAGACCAAGATATATTAATGGCTTGACTAATTATATCACAATGATTCTATTGTCATGTATAATTTAAAAAATAAATAAATAAATTTTTAAAAAGGACACATTCATACCAAGATTCAGATGAATGATAAGAGCTTAAAACACACCTGCTGGTGTTTTTGCATTTTTATACAAACCAAAGCTTCTTAATAAATAAAAAATTTCAACAATAGAACTGCTATCAAGTATAAGAGAACCCAGGCAAAGGGCCCGTGGAGCATCTCCAGCACCGCCAGGTACACAGAAACCTCACGGCAGGCGGATCTGAGAACCCATCACCAAGAGCACTGGGCCAGAGAAGGAACACCACTGGGCAGGCTTTTGGCTCAGTCCTCCACCAGACAAAGGAAACTAACAAGTCATTTAGCTTATCTGGGTCCCAGTTTCCCCATTTGTAAAATAAACATCTTGAACCAGATGACTTCAAGGTCACTTCCAGCTCCAACAACCCCAGTGTGAATTGTGTAATCCTCACCTGGACTCTCCAAGGAGCTCGTGCTTGTCAGTTTGCAAATCCAAATGGAAAGCCCCTGGTCTGCACTAGCCTCCACCCCACCGTGGCTGCCCCACCCACCCCCAAGCATGCACACACCCCTTAGGGTGGAGAAACAGAGCTCCAGGAAAGCGTCAGCTCCAGCTCCCTGTGCGTGCTGGTCCATTGCTTGACTTTTCCATTTGTTCTCAGCTTTTCTATTCATAGAAGTCAACTCTACACTGCTGACTGGGTGGCTTTGTTTTTCCACATGAAAGGCTGATCGTGGCAACTCCAGCTATAGCAAGAACTGCTGGTGACCAGCTCCACCACCAATCGTCACCCCACACACATACAGCCCTCGCTTCTATCAGAAGCCTAGTTTTATTCTGGTATCCTCTACCTGAACACATACCTCACAAGAAGGGGCCCTAATCCAGGGGGTGAATCAAGATAGGACTTGGTTGATCCCCACCCCCCTGCCAGTGAATGGTTTAGGATCCAGCACGTGAGGAGCTTTTGGCACTGATGCATGAGGTTGGAATTTCCTCATTAATTAAAGAGACTCAAATAAAGTAAGAAACAAACAAGCAAAGTCTCTTCCTCTTAAGTCATTTTATGACCAGGAAAAGAGCAAGTCAGAACAAACCATCACACCAAGGATGGAAGAGCAAAGAATGGAAAGAACCTTGGTCCTTCATGATAGAGTTGAGCCACTGAATTCAGTCACCTTGGGACTGTCCTGCCTTGGAGCATATTATATATGCTAATAAATTTTCCTTAATGTCCAAGCCAGTTGAATTGTGGGTTTCTTCTCCTTGCAGCTGATTGTTTACTGATACATTCGTAACATAGAACTAAAAAAAGCCTAGTTTTATTTTGTCACTCTTATCACTCAAGGCTCTCATGTTCTGATTGCCTCAGTGCCATCCCCACACAGTAGGCTCTAGCCACCCTCCCCCTCTGCCTGCCCCCAAATCATCCACCCTGTAAGTGCCGCTGCTTATCCTTCAGATTCCAACAAAAACACCTCCTCCTCTGTGAAACATCGCCCGGTTTCCTCAGGCAGACTCGTGTCCTCATTTCCCACAGCAGGGCTCACGTGCCTCCATTGTGTGGTAACCATTTGCACACCTGTCAACCGCACTAGACTGTGAACTTCTTGAGGGCAGGGGCCTCCAGGTCCTGTTTCTCTTGTGGAACCAGCCCAACACCTGCCTGACTCCTGGAGACGTAGTCTGTATCTGCCTCAGGGAGTCAACACCCGACCTCGTCTATCACCTTAGGAGTGCTGCTCCCCACTCATTTGGAAAGTTTAAATACTTTGTACCTCAGTGTGGGCCTTGCCCAGTGGGCTGTCACTCAAGTTCATATTCAAAATTATAGAAGTGGCTGAAACCATACAGGTCCCAATCCCTCAGACCTTGACAGGTGTTTTCAATTCATCATGTCTGACAGTCTGATAGTCACTCATGTTTACTGCATCAAGAGAAATGAAGAGTGAAAATAAATGTGTCCCATTGTAGCGGGGCACTGGAGGACTCCTGCCCTACAACCCAGCTCCAAGATGCACAAACACTGAGGCATAATGGCACCTCCAGGCTGATCCCTCTCAAAAGCATCAGTATAGGCTTAGTTTTCAGAGTGAGCAAAATTCTCAAAGAAGGAACGTGAAACAAGGTTTCAGCCCATAGATCCAAACTCTGACTCCAACTCCCACTCTCCCAGATGTTCTGACACTGTATAGCCTGGACTGGATGTCGTCTTCTGCACCATGCACCCTGCTGCCCCCTCTCTGACACACACACACAGACACACACAGACACACACACACACACACACACACACACACACAGAGTGAGAGCGAGCAGTTCCACTTCTCTCTGCTTGTTCTGGTAGCTCTGGTGAGTGACAGTTTAAGAGTTCCTATCTGCTCAGATGTAAACCAAAGAACACTATAATGCAAATGACCTACTAGGGAGAACCAGAACCCAACAATTTCAGTGATTCCCCATTCAGGCCCAAAGCACTCTTTTGGACATGTAGATCACGTTTAATGTGACAGGGGGTGAACAATTACTCTAGGGTTGAGATGACTCATTTAAATAGCATAATTCAAATATCCTATTCATCTTGCAATATAATCAACTCCTGAGGGGTTGCTCTACTCCTTGCAGGGGGAGAAAAGTGACAAGGAAGGAAAATGCAGAAAAACATTTCCTGGGCAGGCAGGTACAGCGGCTGCAGGAGGCTGGCCTGCCATCAAGATGAGCAGCCCTGTTCCATCTGCGAAAGGCAGCCAGGGAACCTCCCCTGCACTCTTTCCAGAGTCACACATGGGTCCCACTGACTGCTAGCTGTCTGCCTGAAAAACACATGAATGCTAGGCTGGAGTTGTTCCATCATCAAAATGTGCTGAGTGCCTACTATGTGTTAGCACTGGTGCTACAAGGAAAAGATATCATCACCACCACCATGGACGAAGCCCTCACAACAAGAGGGAAGGTGCTGGAACAGAGGTAGAAACAGCACTTCTGAGGGACAGTGAATTCTGAGGGTGATAAGGCAGGCCTCACAGGACCCATGTCTAAAATGCCTCAAAAGGTGAGTAGAACCCACTAGGTAATAAGGAAAGGTATCCTGGGCCTCTAAAAAAGAGACCCAGAAACAAGGAGATGTGTCAGAAGGTAGGAAGCTGAGAGTAGTTTGGGCTAGGTAGGCCAGAGGTCCTACTGGAGTCACGGCGGGTAGGAGAGGGACTTGCACATCTGGGCCCATCCCTGAGCTGACTGGTGGGTCTATTTCCCCCGACTGCTTTCTTTGACCTAAATTCTAGGCACACTCTTAACACCCGATCATCCCCTTTCCAGACTTTTCTCTCTGAACATGTGTCCTGCCCTGGGCCCTGAGTGCTCCCTCACCTTGTTTTCTTGTCTGCCTGGAACCCTCATGTCTCTGTGATGCTGTGATGCGTGCCCATGTTCCTGGGCAGATGGAAGGGCTCACCTCTCTGCTGGTCTTGTATGGCCACTTGGTCAAGGTGGACAATATCTCTATTTCAAAAAGGCGAAGACACTATCCTTGCCCTCAGGATTAGCTCCTGCAGGAAGCTTGTGAACCCAAAGTCCTGTGACACAAAGCAAGATGTACAAGACACAGGAGAAACACCAAGACACTGAGACCCCTGGTGACCAGAATGAGCTGCCTCATTCTACAGGAAAGGCTACAGGAACCAAAGGCCTAAAGAGAGCTCCACTCTGGCCACACCACTCATCTCTTCCAATTCCAGTGTCCCACACTGCATTGTCTTAATCCAAGACCCTCATTTTGTTTCATCACTTTAATCCTCCATTTTGAGGATGGTCAGATTCTTTTCCTACCCAATGGCCAATTGTCTTAGAAGACAACACAACAGTTAGGGAGAACACAGATTTGACTTGAGGCACAACTGGATTGAATCCCAGCTGCAGCAGCCTGAGGATTCACTGTGAGGACTGAAGGAGACGGTGATGCTGCACAGCTTCAAGACACAGGAAGCACTTCCTAAGCTGTGACTCTCTGTCGGTTAGTCTTGGGATCCAGCATGGCTGCCCCTGTCTCCAAGCTTCGAGTCTCCTATTCTGAGTCCCACACCATTTTCTTCCTTCCCTTTTCTTCCCTACCCTGACCTCGATCCATCAGTGAGAGTGACAAGACAACTCTGGCAATCCAATGACTTCATGAAGGAGGTGGCATTGGGGGTGGATCTTAAAGACAAATAGTATCGGGACCTGAGGCTCTGGCAGGAAGAGGGCATGCTGACAAGTGAGAAATAGCAAATAATGACACAGATAGAGAAGCATACAGCTTGTAGGTATACTAGTGAGGATTGTGGGGTCCATGCCTAAGAAATTATAGAGATCAGAAGAGAGAGAGTCAGAGACAATTGTGTGTAGCTCTTGGGAAACCACATTCTGGGGTGCTTATGTGTGTTGGGGGAAGGGGGGTCAGGTGTTACAGGGTGACTGTATGCAGGATGCATTGGGAAGGGGAGACACCAAAGCAGAGGCTTCTCCTCAAGGACAACCCACATGTCACACAAAGCATTCTGGTCATGAGCTCAGAAGCACCAGGCTTCAAAGTCTGGAATGGAGAACCCAGGTTATCTTGGTACTTCTTCATTCTTCAGTTAGCTCATCTGTAAAATGAGACGCTTGACCTTCATGTTGAGTCCACCAACTTGACAACTGAGGGCAGGCAAGACCTCAGGGAAGATACTGAATTTTTTGATGCCTTCATTTACCTCATCTGTGAAATGGAGGTAAAAAACACAATCCTTTCCTTGAAGTGCCAACAATTCCATCCCCTATGCAGCAGGAGTTAAAACTGTTGTCTGTCAAAAAGTCCTCGCAGCTAAAATATTTTCACATGCCATTCAGAAAAAAAAAAAAAAATCTGGAACCCAGTCCCGGCCAGTCTGGGATAGGACATGAAATGCTTTTTCTGACACATTTTTCAAGTAGATTAATTCAAGTACATAATGATAATCTCCAGATATACATTGTCCTTGAAAATGTCAATGTATTGTTAGAAAGAGAGACGTGCAATTCTAAGTCCCCAAAGCAATAAAACTAGGATGAGCCTTCAATTCTAAATCAGACTTAACTTCCAAGAGAAGGTGCTCTCAGAGATACGTGACACACTACTTGTTTTCCCGTGTGATTCATGGCGTCTCTAGAAAACAAACAGAAACAGAAGAATATACAAGTATTTGTCAAAACAAAACCTTAGATGTCTCCAAATTTTGTCTGTGACAGAGCACTGTGGTATCCCTTTCCAAAATCTAGTGACCAAAAATTTAGGACTTGTATCAAAACTCCAGCTAATTGTTCCTGCTTCCACAAGTTTCTAGTCCCACTCCCTCTTCCAACACATCTTGCACCCACCTGCTGTTAGGAAAATATTCCTTGCTTTGCACTTGGGTTTCTAGGATGTAAAGATGTGTCTCTTTCACCTGTCTGTCTCAGTGCAACCCAGAGGACAGCCACCACACCTACTGTGTATTCAACTCCCATAACCCATAGGTGACCGGCACCAGTGTGCATGTTCTTGCCATCAAGCCGACTGCTTCCCAAAACATGGAAGAAAAAGAAACCTGCAAATGGATGACTGAGTCTTCACACCCCATGTTTTTCTTCCACCACCCAGAATACTCTTCCCTGTCATTTTTGAAACTTCTCAAGACTCCTTTGGAAAGCATTTCCTTATGGATCCCCTCTCAACTCTACTTCCCACCACTCTGTGTTAGCTCTCATGAACTCACATGTATCTGAAGAATTGTCGCTTCTTTGGGTCTAAGGCAGGCTGCTGCGCTGAGCAGGCTCACTGGGCTGTGTCCTTGGCTCTACCACCTGTTCTGTGTACCAGAAGCTCCTCATGGCCAGCGCCTGGTCCTGACCCAGTGTCACACAGAAGACGTATCCCCAGGATACGGGCAGGACCCAGATCAGAGAGTCTCACATCACCTACAGAGGTTGACAACATCACAGGTGGCCATGTGCATGCATTGTTTTCTAGAAGCATCATAGGACTGTTAAAGGTGTTTGTCGTTACAAATTTTTTCTTTGATCACACATGTCATTGAAGATTTCTTATTTGTTTTGCTTTTTAAAAAAAAAAAAATTCAGATACCCAAGTTTGGATACTCAAGTTCTACTCTTAGAGATTATCATTTAATGTATCTGGGAAGGGGCCTCAGCACTTTTATTTTGTTTAAATTTCAGAGTGATTTGGTTTAGAGGGGAAAATTGTATGTGTGTGTGTGTGTGTGTGTGTGTGTTTGTGTGGTGTTTTATAGATCAATGCTCATGTGATTGTGTGTGGCAGGGTGGGAAATAGGGGTAGGATTCTGTAGCTAAAAGACATACAATTCCTCTTCCCAGTGTAGCTTCTGCAGAAATTACCCCTACTTCCCCCATCCAAAGCCAGATCAGACCATGAACTCAGACTTTTCCCAGGGAAAGGCCAGAATGCAGCCTGTTCCCCCATTGCAGGGCAGGCAAATAATAGTGTGGAGCGTGGGCAGGGAGACAGAGCCCAGCCCAAGTCCTGGCTCCAAGCATTTGACTTAAGCCAGTTTCTCTGCCTCTGCTTCCTGGAGACTCACCTCAGAGTGCCAGGTAAGGACCAAGCCTGGGAAGGAAAGAGTGTGGGGTAAGTGCTGGCTACTGACATGCACAGAGAGGAGAGCCCTTCCAGGTCTGGAGTCTGAGCTCACCTTCTCTCCTTCCTGCTGAACCAGTCTCCCACCATCATTTGTTGGCCTGTGTGTGGTGTTCCTGGGGTGCTAGCTCCCTGAAGAAGGCATGTATCTCAATGAATATTTTGCTGCCCCAGGCACATGGTGCAGTGGCCCTTATGTACCATAAAGGGTGCCAGCTGAGGAGTCCCTTAGCCTGAAAACTCAGGCTGTCCTGTGGGAAGTGCCAACCAGAGGTAAGCCAGCCACAGAGTGGTCAAGACACCAGTCTCCATTGAGGCAGCCACTCTGATTTTCTCAAAGCCACCACCTTCCCCTCTGTCTCCCTTTCTCTGGGACCTCTCAGATACTCCTTGAAGAACACATTCAGGCTAATCTGTGTTCTTCACAGTCTTTTTGGAAACCCTGAAGAGGGGTAAGTGCCCACACACATGCATACTTACTTCTCCCCTTCCAAAATTAACCAGTGGCCACTTCTTCCATTTTCTCAGTTGAGAATACAGATGTTTCATTGCATATGGATACTGGAAGGTCCAGCTAGAGCACCAGTTTCTTCCAGAAAGCCAGGCCTTACCGGGACTTCCTCCTCATGGCACTCACCTCCCTCCTAGCGCGTCACCACCTTATGCTGAAGGTGGCCTCTTCCTAGGCCTGCCTTAGCCCTAAGTCTCTTCCTCTGTCGTGTCACACACTTCCAGACTTCAGTGCGTTTTTTGGCATGGAGCAGAAGTGCCATAAATGTCTTTTGAGTCAAACTCCCTTCTCATCTGACCCCGGCTGACATTCTTGGAGACCCCTATACAAAGGAAGGAGGTGTTACCTTGATGTACAGTCTCCAGACCAACGTGGGTGCAGTGCAGGTGGAAGGCAGGTTTGTCTCTAAATAAAAACCTGCAGTCAAGAAAGAGTCTGCAGATATTTGAAAGAGAAGAATTGGTTGTGTCCCGGGTCTCAAATCCTAGACAATTCACTTCATCAGTACCTTGGCCCTTTGTTCTTTATTAAAACTGCACAGAAATAACCTTGCCATGCTATTGCTACTATTAATAACGTGTATGCCTTATCACATTGCGTATTGTATTATGAAAATTGAGTGCCAGCACCAGGGAAAACTGATGCGCAGAAGCTACCTAGCTGTTGATAAGGGAGAGGCTTCCTTCTGACCCCACTCAGCTCCCTTCTGGGCCTTTAAATAAACGCCACCTCCTCAGCCCACCTCCCCTCCCTGCTCCTGCACAAATCAAAGGAGGCAGGGGGGACGTTCTGCCAAGCTGCCTGGCCTTCCTAAAGAATGGGTTTCCATCTGCACTGTGGCCAGCAGTTTGCATTCAGAACGACCCACAGGCCTTTCAAAAGACAGGGACGCCATCCAATCCACACAGTGCCGGGTTTTTATAAGAACATCTTCCCATAGTTTCCACTTCAGCCTTCCAAACCACACTTGTAAATAGGGCGTCATCCTCACTTATGTGACCTTGTCCTCATTCGGTGTGAACCATGAATTCTTCTAAATTAAAGAGTGGCAGGGGTGGTAGCCATGGTGACATCCTCACTGGCTACACGCCCCCCCACCCCCAGGGGCCATCCAAGGGGCTCCACACTGGGAAGCCAGCTCTGCTCCTCTAACTGCTGCTCCTCAGAGGCAAGAAGGTTTCCAGCTACAGTTCCCTAAGCACAGTTTTGCAGCTCATCCTACTTGAGGAGAGAGGGCTTCAGAATCCAGCAATCCCCAGAAAGACTCTGGGGAAAAACTTCCTGGGGGCTCTCTTTCACCTCCAAACAAACAAACAAACAACAACAACAACAAAAAAAGTGAAGCTAATAAAGATCTGGTTTAACTTTCTAAAACAGCCTCTAATTCTCTGGGAAAACCCTGCCCAGCGACCCAAACTCATTTCCCTCATTTCAAATGCAAATCGCTCGCACACGTGCTAGGGAGCAGTTTTTTTTTTTTTTTCCGGAGGTAAATGGTGGCATCAGTGATGTCCAGCTCAGCACCACTCTTTAGCTTTCCATCACCAGACCTTATCTTTCCAGAACACAGATGAAAAGGTCTGAGGGAGGGAGTGATCATAGAGACTGGAACGGCTTTTATTAAAAGAGTGTTTTCCCAGACCTTAACTAAACCTCATCCACTTTTGTCAGTCAGGGCCGACAGTTGAGAGCAATATTAGAGGAGGTAATTGCATGTATCAGTCAACAGCTTTTGTCCCGTGGCCGCCGAGAATTACAGTAAAACGGGCACAGGAAAACGGCATACTGGATTAAAGTCAAAAAAGCTCTTTCTCCAGTTTCTCCCCACTTACCAGCTGTTATGTTCCACGGCAGAGACAGAAGCAGCAATAATATCTGGGGGAAATCTAGCCCACCGCAGTCTGGGTTTGCTCCCCCTTCTGCTTTCCCTCCACCTTGAAAGCGATTAATCTTTGACTTTAAAGAGAAACTTTTTCAAAAAGCATTCTACCTCGCCATAGCAACTAAGCTCTTAGCTCTATATGAATTTTTCTCCCATTAAAGTATACGAACACATATAAACTCCGGACCTTCTATCATTTCTTAGACTGACTATAAACCAAGCTGCTCAGAGCCTTTGATGTCACTTGGTAACAGGTCCTAAGAGTTGCCTAAGTAAACAGTTTGCCAGACACAGACACATTTTATGTACATTTGGTTGTAAATCACACCAAGCCAAAATCTGATGAACAGTTAGCCTCAGGGTCTGAAAATTACCACAGGTATGTGGATGCCAGAGTATGTAGAAGGGAAGGCAGAGACTAACTTATGCCCCTGCACCTGGCTCAAATCCACTCAAGGCAAGTGCAGTTGTCACCAGGTCCCTTGTGATCCAGACACCATGGCCTAGCCCCCAAGCCCCAATATTAAAAGGACACTCTCTAGGTTATGAGAAAATCATTAACTAAAATGCCTCTAGAGGCTTCGGTCACAGAGTTAAGAGGCACTCTTAGGGATAAGGTGAGGGCACATCAGATGGAAACTGGCTGTCTAGAAAGAACAGCGGCCTACTCCCGGGAGACCTCAGGGATCAGGAAACAAGAGGTCAGAGTCATTTCTGAGGGACTCTATAAAACAAGGAACAGAGGTAAGTTTGACCAGCTCTACCATAGCTCTGACAGAGGCCAGCTGAGAGGCCAATATATTGACCACAGCAAGCTATTGGATTAATGAGCTAGATCCTTAAATACTCGAAATCCCTGGCACTTCAGGGTAGCCAAGTTCACCTTCATAATTTTCCATTTTATAGATAAAAAAAATTGAGGTTTAGAGAGATCAGGCAACTCAGCCAAGTAGATGTAGCTACAGACAGAATTCCAGTCCAGCCATGTCTCCTTCAGAGCCTCACTCCAGGGAGTAGAACCATCTGACACCGTGTGGACACATCTTCACTTGTACTCAATTCTGGACACCAGGGAAGTAGGGAGTTACAGGATAAGCCTACACTATCTTCCAGGGCATCAGATTTATTCAAATATTGGTGAGTGTCAAACAGCAGAAAGACCATGGTATGGGATTAAGTTGTTGTAGAGATGAGTATTTTAAAGTATATATTTCACATTAAATTCAATGACTGACTATTAGGCAGCAGGATACAATGTATATATTTTAAAGACTGAATGGGTAATGAATTAATAATTCAAGATTCAAACAGGACAAAAAGATACAAAGTGGATAGTTTCTCTCTCACTTACCCTCAAGTCTCAATTCCTCTCCTCACAGGTAGATCATATTTTATCTATTTATACAGGTGCATATAAATGCAGTTTTCTTTCTCTTTTTAAACATGATTTTTTAAAAAAAGAAACATGTTTTTCTGTACTTTGTTT